AATAAATAAAAAAATAAAAAACAGGAACAGAATTTATCAGGCTATTTCTCATACGTTTATTCAACTGGACGGGTTTAAACTCAGCTGGGGTGGAGCACAATCACGACCCTCTGGGCAGCTTCAGACAGCAGCCGTGTGTTGATGTTGACTACTTTGTGTTTGTTAATGTCACTGTGTGTCCAGATGCCACAGCTGAAACCAGAGACTATCAGCATGACAGGCCTCAACCTCTTTCAGCACCTCTGTAACCTGGCCCGGCTTGCTACTACTGCGCTGGACAACGCCTCTAGCTGTGAGGTAAATGGAAACAAAAGCATGTGATGCTCGTAATCAGACATGTCGTCTTCAGACACGTTTGAGTAGATGATTAATTGAGGAATGTCTGTGCTGCCAGCTGTGTGGGATGGACCAGCTGTGGGGGATCGCTCTGAGAGCTCAATCTGCTGATATCAGCCGCGCTGCTATACAGTACATCAACTCCTACTACATCAATGGTCAGTTTTTACTCACTGCACTATGATGAAGTCATATGAAATTGTTGTTTTTATTCTTCCGTACCAATAAGAACAAGAAGAAATTGCTGATCTTAATCTATTAATTCTACTTTTGTGTGTCTCCAGCTGGTAAAACAGGACTGGAGAAGGAACAAGAGTTCATAAGGAAATGTATGGAGAGCCTCCTGATGGCTTCTGCCAACTTGGAGAAGGATGCTCACTCCAGTCTGACCAGCATTGAGAGGGGGTTGCTCATGCTCAAAACACACCTGGAGGCGTTCCGGCGCAGGTACACACACCTGGAATGTTTACATTATTAAAAACTCAGTGGTCAAAATCATTTTATATATAAAAAAAAAAAGCAAACAAACAGTATTGCAGCACATCGTTTTGTCTCTGGTCTGCGGCAGGTTTGCTTACCACCTGCGACAGTGGCAGATCGAGGGGACGGGAATCAGCAGCCACCTTAAAGCTTTGAGTGACAAACAGTCTCTACCTCTTAGGATCGTCTGTCAGCCCGCCGGCCTGCCTGACAAGGTGACACTTTATTAAAAGCAAATAAGTCTTATTGCATAAATACTTATAATGTGCTTCTACAGTACAAGTCAAATGTTTGGACACACTTTTTGCAGATGACCATTGAGATGTATCCCAGTGACCAAGTAGCTGACCTGCGAGCTGAGGTGACCCACTGGTACGAGAACCTGCAGAAGGAGCAGATGAACCACCAGGCTCAGCTGCAGGAATTTGGCCAGAGTGGCCGGCAGCCAGGAGACTTCCCAGGTCAGCTCCCTCCATAAAATATTCTCCCTTGCTTTTGTTGTGTGAGTGAGTCTGTTAGTGAAATGTTGTCTCGTGTTCTGCAGGTGGTTTGATGGGACCGGTCAGGATGATCTCTTCTGGTCATGAACTTACCACAGACTATGATGAGAAGACTCTGCATGAGCTGGGCTTTAAAGACATGCAGGTAACAGTTTGACTTCTCTTCTGTGTAAGAAACGGCCAACAGTAGGACAGACTGCAGTTCAGCTCAAGTCTGAAAGATTGTTTTACATCTTTTAACGTTGTTGTCTAATCATGTAAATTTTGATTACAT